GGGTGGGGCCGCGGAGCACCGAGGGGCAGGGCGGCGCGGACCTGGGCTGCCACTTCAGGATGCAGCGGGCTGCGAGGGCGTGGCTGCTCGTCGCGCTGCAGGTTGATTTTCGGTTCTCTCCGCCCCCCACCCGCCCGCACCCGCCCACCCTCCCCGGTGATGCCCCTCCCTGCTCCCTCAAGCACTCCGAAATCGAATCCCTCTTGCCCTGTTTTCCTCATCCCCCCCCTCCTCAACACACACACGGCCGCTCAGCAATCTACACCCTGCTCCCCCCTCACCTAAATCCCCAGGCTTCAAGGCCCTGGTCGAGTCTTTCAAGGAGGTCACAGGCAACTGCACCCCCTACTCCATAACAGGCAGCCTGCCATGCATCAGGGAGCTGCAGGTGCGGCTCAAGCGGGGAGCGCGTGCGTCGTTCACGGGATGAGCCCCCACTCTCTCTGTGTTTTGTGTGTGCGTGCGTGCGTGCGTGCGTGTGTGTGTGTGTCTGTGTGTGTGTGCGTCTGTGCGTGCCTGCGCGTGCGCATGCGCGCGGCGTGTGTCTGTGTGCGTGTGCGTGCGCATGTCTGTGAGTGTGCGGTGTGCTGCTGGTATGCAGGAGTTGGTGTGCCTGCGTGCAGGGCTGTGCGCGTGTCCATGCCTTGGGGCGGGCGCAGACGCAGAGACAGGCCAGGGTGTTGGGGTGCGAAACTCAGCCACGAGGGGGCCGGCGACTTGTTGGGGTCAGCCGGGCGTTGGGAGCCTGGCTGGCTCCCAGGAGTTGCACGCAGGCCAACCAGGCACGCCTGACGTCCGCCGCCACGACGGGGCGCGGCGCAGTCAAAAGCGCCGCGGCTGCCACCTCACTCGAGCACCGACGCGCGCACGTCATCGGTCTGTGCCGCGCCACGGCTTCCACAGAGCCGGGTCACGCAGGTTGATAGCCCATCCTTCAATAACAAAACCCTGAAACCCACACATGCCCAACCACCTGCATTTCGCTGCCCGCAGGACGACGGGTTTGACGTGCAGACAATGGGGTTTGGCAAGCTTGCGGCATACCACGCCAACAACGAGGTGGGGGGCGGTTCTGCATCGGTAGCTTCCACTTGCGTCGCGAGCGCGCCTTGGCGCAGTGGTTGGGAGCGAGGGGTGAGGGGTGGGGAGAGTGGTCGCAAGATGCGTTACGGGTGGGACACCGCGGGCCCGGGCAAGAACCGCCAGCGCCAGCCTGCCTTGCACGAGCCGGCGGCCTCCCTCATGACCACCCACCCCCCCTGCCAACCCCCGCCCCCGTCCTCCCTGAAACAGTACGGCTACCTGTCCGATTTCGAAAAGGGGTTCCGGGTCCTGGCCACGCTGCTGACCAAGATGTAGGGTGCGTGCCGCCTGCTTAGCCCCCTTGGGACAGGGCTGCCAGGACAGGCGTTGCGACAGGTGGCCGCTCATGTTGAGGGCAGGTTGCGGCCGGGATGGCCGCTTTGCCGCGCCCTTGCGCGGCAAAGCACCACGTTTTGTTGATGTCGTGGTCAGCGGCAAGCGGGCAGGGAGGGCTTGCGGCGCGCGGGGGGCGCTACTATTGCGACCGATTCCGGGGCGGCTGCGGCGCTTGCCAGGCGGGCGCGGCGGGATGCGCCAAGGCTGCAGATGCTGGACACCTGTTCCATGCAAAGCAGGGCCGGCGGTCCATTCCATTGAGCGATTTTGCCTGTAACTCGGCTGTTGCAACACAATTGAACCGCTGTATTCAATCATTCAATCTTCAGCAACCGACATCCCCGCACAGTTGCGGAATTGTCGACACGACCGACAGGCGCGCTAGGACACCACAGCCATCACATCATTGACTGCTGGTACATTACAGTGTTGAGAGCTTGCAACATCTCGCCACAAGCGATCACCGATCTCGGCTCGTCCTTTCGAAGTTGAAGCCCGGGGTCAGGCCCGGGGGGCTGTGCGTGTTTCGCAATTGCAGCAACAAAACCACAATTCACGCATACAGCCATCCCTGCCGGATCCTGCCTGGAGGCGACCCGGCGGCGTCGCACCGCACTAGTGGCATGCGCACCGCACACCTCAGCTACAGCGACGCACGGATGTCGTGGCTCCGTGGCCGGCTAGCGCCCTCACCTGCGATCCCCGGCAACTGCCATCTCGTGTCGCTGCGCCGCACGTGGCCGGCGCACCGACGCGCGGCGCTCGCGCCGGGCAGGCGGGACAGGCGCGCACACGGGCAGCGGGCTGTGGCGCCGCGGTCAGAGGGGCGCGCGTACGAGGGAGGGGTACGCGTGGAGGTGCCAGACAGCGATGCCGTCAGCCGAAGCGGCAACAGCTCCGACTCCGATGCCGGCGCCGCGAGGGCGGCCAACGGCAGCAGCCCAGCCGCCCACAGCACGAGCAGCAACGGGGGTGGCGCAGCCCGCGGAGACCGCAGCAACGGCAGCGGCGGGGGCGGCGGGGGCGGCAACGCAGCGCGGCGCAAGCCTCGCCAGCCGGCTGTGGGACTGCTGCGGCCGCAGTCGCAGCTGCAGCAGCAGCAGCAGCAGTCCCCCGGTGTCGGTGGCGGCAGCGGCGACCCTCGTGAGGGTGCGAGCAGCGGCACCTTTGGCATATCGCTGCAGGATCTCCAACGCCTTCTCAGCGCCGCCGCCGACGGCCGCCGCTCCGCGTTCCCGCCGCTCCCCCCTCCGCTGCTCGGCGCCTGCGCGCCGCCCTCGGTCGCGCCCGCCGACGCGGCCGCGGCGCGTGCGGCGGCGCTTGCGACCGCGCTGCGCAGCTCCCCGCGCCGCGGCCTGCAAGAGGCAGACCCAGCAGACCATGCCGCCCGCGCGGCCGCATTTGGCACCAACAGGCTGCCTGATGCCGCGACCAGCAGCCTGTGGCAGCTGCTGCTCGAGGCCGCATCTGATGCAACAATGCTCATGCTGATGGCGGCCGGGGCGCTGAGCCTGGGCCTGAGCGCGATGACTCATGCAGAGGCTGCTGACTACATTGATGGCGGTGAGTGCATAAGGGGCGGGGCCGGGGAGGGGTGAGGGGGCAGTGGTTGCGGGGGATGAGGGCCGTATGAGGTGGTGTTGTGGGCTGGCCATGGGGCCGCGGGGGCTGGCCATGGGGCGGCCGTGACAACCGTGCTGCCCGGCTGTCCAGCGGCGCGCGGGGTCTGCACGACGGGGTTCGGTCACGGCGCGCACAAAGGGAGCCGCGAGAGCGGCTTGGCTGCCGCGCCGGAGCCTTTGACCGGGCTCTTGCCGCTGCCAGGGGTCACATCCGGCTGCTTTTTCTCTGGGCGCGGCTTTCCGCCCCCCGAGCGGTCCCGACGCATACCTCCCAGCTTCTCCTCACCCACTCACATTGACCGAACCACATCATCCGCCCCTTCCCACGTCAATGCGTTGTGCCCCCAGCCGCGATCCTGGCGTCTGTCGTGATCTGCGTGGGCTTTGCCGCCGGCACCAACTACTCAAAAGAGTCAAAGTTCAGGCGGCTCAACGCGGCAAAGGACGACGTCGCGGTGGGTGCTTCCAGCGCATGGGGTCAGGGTTCAGGGTTGGGGGTGTCAGGGTTTACGGTGTTTTGTTGGTTGGCTGTCGGCGGAGCTGCGGCAGGCTTAACAACGCGGCAGCTGTTGGTACTCGACGGGGCGCGCGTGTTTCAGGGGGTGGGGAGTGACGGTGTGCTGGCGAGGGTGGCACGGCTGCTGGGCACCCCCGCGACGGCGGCAGACCGCGCAGGACTTCACTGTGGCCGCGCGCCAATGCAGCGGGCCAAGTCGCCCCCGCCGGCCCTTGGCAACGCCGCCCAGCAGCACCCCGCCCTTGGGCCCCTGCACACCGACGCGCCGCCACCACCTCCGCCCCCGCCCCGGGCGCGCAACCAGGTGCCCTTCATTCGTGTGACGCTGCGACAATCATAATGTTATTCCCAATCCTAATGCGCATGCTACTGCCAATGCCGACCCTGCACGCCGACGCGCCACCGCCCAACCCTCGCCCCTGGGCATGCTGCTAGGTTCGCGTCGTGCGCGGCGAGCGGGAGGCCCAGATCTCTGTTTTCGACCTGCTGGTTGGAGACATCCTGCTGGTGGAGGCTGGGGACATCCTGCCGGCAGACGGCCTGCTGCTGCCCGGCAGCGGCGAGCTCAAGTGAGGGCGGACGGCCCCGCGGGGCAGGCGGCGGCGCCGTTTGACCGGCCGTTTGACCGGCCAGCCGACCGGTCGCTGGGCGTGCGGGGAGGCGGGGAGCGTCTAGCAGGGGGGGTCTGGTTTGGACGCACGGGGCGCGGCATGGGGCGCGTGACGCAAGCCTGGGCGGGCCGGGCGCCAGGTGATCACTCGGGGCCAACCGAGGGTCACTCAGGGAGCCGAGCCCGAATAATCAGCACACCCCACTGCACCCTCCCTCCACCGCTCGCAGGCAAGCCCTGAAACGCTCCGCCTGCCCTGCACCTGTAGCGCGAAACCTCTGCCCCTCTCCTGCAAGCACTCCCCCCACACAACCCCTCCCCTCTTCCAATGCACGCGCCCGACCTGCCCCACCCCCCTCGCCCACCCGACGCCACCCCAGGGTTGATGAGAGCCAGCTGACCGGGGAGAGCGATGACGTCATCAAGGACCCAGTCACTGCCCCCGTCTGCTTCAGCGGCTCAAAGGTCGGCCGTGTTTTCTCTTTTTCGCTGCGCTCGGGCAGCATGTCTTGGCCCTGCAGCGTCCTAGCGTGACTTGGTGCGGGGAGCAAGCCGCAAGCAACGCCTTACTTGCGAGCGACGTGCTTGATCGATTTATTTACACAATCTACATGCAAAACCTCAAAAACGTCGTCAGGTGCTGGAGGGCTTCGGGCGCCTGCTGGTGCTGGCCGTCGGCCCCAACAGCCAGCAGGGCCTCATCAACGCCGCGGTCATCGCGGGAAAAGGCGGCGCCGCCCCCGCCCCCGCCCCCGGCCCCGCCCCCGTGC